CAGCTTATGACGTCACAGAATGTGCTGAATCAGCAATTTATATTTTGCACATTTTTGCGTATAACTTCGGAACCAGATGAGATAGAATAGAGCAGTAAACGGCCAATCGGCTTATTTTTTCATGCTCCTTCAGACGAAGCAATAAAATCAATAACATTTTTTGTTGCCAATACCCTTTAACGTTTGCGGTTGATCGAAAAGCAGAAACAGAGGTTTGCGGGCTACTAACTACATTCATGAGGAATCAATAGGAGTCACTTAAGACGAGTAAGAGTAAGGCAGTCACTTATTTGTGTACCCTGAGCTAGATGATTGACAAGCCTAATGTGAGCGGTACAAACTCTTCTACATACTGTACAGATTTAAATATAATCGGCAGTGGCTTGTCTCGTGGCATTTTGCCCTTTTCGCGTTCCTTGCGGTGTCTGAAAATATCCGTTTCCGCGTCTCCGTGTCCGCATTTCCCATCAGGGTTGGGCTAACCTGCGGACGGGCATAATTGAAGAATTCTGCGCTCCTTCGCCCAGCGGCTACGCTCGTGTTCCAAGATCCGCCATGTAAAGTGTAGTGAAATGTATCTCATCGTAATATTAAATCCTAAGAAAACTAAAGCCTCTGAGAGAGCATAACATGCAAAGCTGCATGCAAGGTAAATAAATTCGGAAAGTACTAACAAATTCGAAAGATCACAACATTATGGTTTCCAGAATGATGAGTTATATACTAGTATCTATCGTAACTGCGTTACTGTTAAGTCCCAGCGATTCAACTCCTGACAATTGTTACGGGATACATTACAAAACTATCAACGATTCACGTCGCAGTACAGGCTACGACGTCTCGGATAATCATCTCTCGAATAATACAAGAGAGCATATTTGCGACAGGGGCCTGCTACAGGACAACGCTTGGTATCGATTTTCAAGCGAAGCTGGCGGAGAAATGCCAACGACAAAGCCTAAATACGGAAGCTGTGGAACCTATGTTCCTATCTGGATGAATGGTTTTCATCCCACCATCGAGGATGGGATAGTGGCAAGAAAAGCTTGTGCCAATGTGCCTCGCTTACGTCCATTGGGTTGCGGTTACAGCTACAATATACATGTTCGCAATTGTAGTGGATATTATGTTTACCAGTTAAAGACTCCAGCACATTGCACTTTGGCGTATTGTGTAGGTAAGTTATCATGTATATACAGAGTTTATTATATATTATAATTCCTAAAACGTAGTCTGCCCCTACGTTTTTGATCGGGTATGATCGGCTATGTATTGAAGTTGTAGCATACCAAGTTTGAATATATAAAGTTCAATATAATATATTATTATATAGCAATATATTTGATTGAAATACCTCAACAATATTACGTTGTTGAACGGAATTTCAATCGACTGTCATGGTTTGTAGTACATTCTTAACTATAAAGTAATAACTTCCTTTGTATGTGTATAAACAGATATGTAAGAGATCGCGTTTTGGTTTTGCAAAAATTAGGGAGAAATTACTAAAATTAATGTGCTAAACGATTGGACATTACGAGGTACATAATAGATAACCATATTGGCAGCATATATATCATAGATATCATAGATATCATAGATATCACAGATATCTTATATACACTAGGTAGTGCATCTAATTATTCTGAAATTCAAAAATTGAAGCCGTGATTGCAGACTCAGGTCGTTCCCATAAAATGAGAAGATTCGTATATTTTCTATTTCTTAAACAGGGAACTTAAACATTAAGTTAACCCTATTCCAAATACGTTTTTAAACCATTCAAGTGGTGAAAGTTATTGTTGTTTTTAAGCGTTTATTAGCAAGTGGGAACGACCAACATGGCCGCCATCTATTCAAATGGAGTAACCACTGGAATATTATTGGCTTCAATTTTACTAAAAGAGATGCGCTATCTAGTGTATATAAGATATCTATGATATATATATATATATATATATATATATATATATATATATATATATATATATATATATATATATATATATATATAAA